CGTTCGCCAAAACAAAAACATTGGTCCTTCGTTTACACTCGAAGGAACGCAAACTTTTTGGCCAACCCGTACAATTTTTCTTCGTTCAACGATGGAACGATAAGTACCATTTCCGTGAGAAGCGACCGAGATGTCCCAAATAAATAAGAATTCTAAATTCTCCGTAGTTCCGAAAGCCATAACCCTTCGCGAGAATGGCCACAGGGTGGTCTAAATCTCGTTAAAGCCTCGTCGAGCGCCGCGCGCGTCTCTTTCATTGTTTCGCGACATGTAGAGAATCGATCTGGCAAAAATGTGTGTTCCCTCCCCCTTCGATATATTTATTAACACCCTGTATATCTGCGACGATCGTCTAGACGTCGCAGTTCTGTTTGTTCTCGAGAGGGTCCCCGATCGCGCCTTAAATTCAGCTTTATCTCGTCGCTCTCCCGGCTTTTCCCCTCTATCTCTCTCTATCTTTCGCCGTCGGTTTCTCGGTCGTCTCGGTCGGTTCCCGTCGAATGTCGCGCATGAATCGACCGATAGCAGCTGGCCTCGCTCACACGTCTAAACGGGGTAAACGAACTCTTTGTACCGTTGAGTGGGGCACCGAATTGCGAGCCCAAAGTGCATCCGACGATAACGCAGCCCGATATTACCGCTCGTTTCGCAGTGACACGCGCGTGGTTCCTTGGAAAAAAAAAAAAGAAAAGAAAAGAAAAGAAAAGGAAAGGAAAGAAAAGAGAACTTTCTGCTCGCTTCTCATTTTTCTCTGAGAAAACTGCAGGGAACGTAAGCGAAAAATGTAGGCGTTTCAATCATTCTCGGCGCGATAATTGAATGTCACGTGTCGATGAAATTTTTTTCAATTCCTCTATCATTGACGCGAGTTACGTTAAATCGAATTGTATTTATCACGTCTGCAGGAAGTTGATTGAATTTTAACTTGCAATTGGTCATTTGCGTTCCTTGTCAATTTTCGATTGCCCGACGAGGTTAGAATGTAGGTTACCGCGATTTCACAATTTTCACACGGATGTTCGAGATAAGAAAAGACATGCCCGCAGTCAGACACGTGTACAAAGAAATTTTTACAAAAAA